TATAGAAGATGTACACACGTTTTCGAGTGTCGTCTTGTTTAGGTTTCATTTTCAATTTGAATAATCATTCAATCTAAATATAAATGTAGCATATTAAAGCTAAATTTAAACGCTTTAAAATAATATATCACATGGTACAATTGCAATACATCATGTCAGATTTATATTGACTTAAAGTCAGTCCGGATTTCAAGTGAACACCCGTTATATATATATATATATATATATATATATATATATATATATATATATATATATATATATATATATATATATATATATATATATATATATATATATATATATATATATATCATATACACATATATATACATATCATACATATATCTGTGTGTGTGTTATGTTTTTGTTATGCTCCTCTCTAATAACACGACTAAATATATTGAAAAATATAATAAGTAATGAATAAAATAGTTATGAGTTATCTTAATATTATTTAAGTTATATTTGAAGCATTTTGACTGTATTTGCAATAAATATATTGTTAAAACTATGTATTGTTAAAACTATATAGTTGTAAAAAATATAAAGAAAGAGTTTGCTCCATGTCTATAAGTTATCTCCAACACCAAAAAATCCTGGATCCGTCACTGATGTAGATGGCCTTGACTCTTAAACTGAAAATCGCTAAATAAAATAAATCGCTAAATACTTGAATAGAATCATTAGCAATTCCTTTTTTTTGCATTTATCCAAATGGATCACAACTCTACCTAATTTTTTAATTAGCAACAATTACCTATTTCTCTATTTGGTTGATCAATTAATATGGTCACTTCATTCCATTAACTGGCCTTATTTCGTCCCCCTGAATGATAATTTGTCGTATTTTTTTTGTTTTTGTTGTTGTTGTTTGTTTTTTTTTGTTTTTTTTTTTTGTTATTCAGGTGCCCCAAGAAGATCTAACGGTCACGTCACAGAACACCGCGGAAGTGCATTATCTAGGAAGTTCACGCATCTTTCCTTACCGTGATGCGAAAATATTTCCAGAGCTCGTTTCGAACCTGGATCTCTTGCTTCTAAAGCGAGCGCTCTAACCACTGCGCCACGGCCGCAATGTTTAAGAATATACTTTACTTATATTACAAAAAAATGCAATCTGATTATTAATTAAGCTATTGTATAAAACAATACACTTGTAAAAAATGAAAAATAAACATAAATCTATCTTTTAAATAAACATAAATCTATCAAACTTTGTTACTAAAGATTTGTATCAAAATTTAGCAAAAACTTTAAAACCCACCAAGTAAACCAGTTGGGTTGGATTTTTGCTCTAAAACCTGGGTTTTTGCCAACCATGGCTTAAATACTCAAGAAAAATACCCTATTACATTGTTAAATACCACAGTTGGTATATTACGTAAATACTCTGAAAAAAAGCAATATTTTTAAAAAAATATAGTATATTTCTAGCTAAATATTTTAATAAACATGCAATTTATCCAACCTTTGGCAAGTAATCCATTTTATCCGTTCATTTAACCCCCTCTTTGCCATTAATTAAATGATCTAATTAATTAATCAACACAGAGTTTCTGGTCCTTATAATTGCACAACTAATGCTTCGACAATTATGGTTATTGTGACATTAAAAAAACCTCCTTATTTATGTTGAATGCATAAGTATCAATTAAGTATCAAAAAAAGCATTCAATCATTCAATTTGAGCGAAACACTGGAAATAAGAAAAAAGGCATGGGAAAATGTCAAAAGGCTTAGCAAAAAAGGTAAATACAATATAAATAATCTATAAATACAGTACATAAAATATCTATAAAAAGGTGAATACGCTATTATCTAATATGATAAAATATTCGTGAGAGATTTTGTAAATAAAGCTTGGTTTCCAATAGTTGTAGAAATGTCTGGCAACAGTTGTACAATAATCATGCTTTATAATGGAAACATTTTCTCGAGTAAGTTGCACAACTTAACGTCGGTTGTACAACAAAATTTGTGTTGTAAAACAAAGGTTGCGGAAATAAAATCAAACTAATTTCGGCAAAATTTGTTGTACAACAAAAAGGTACAATTGTTGCACAACATTTCTTCAACTATTGGAAACCAAGCGTAAGGAAAGTGGTGAACAATAAAAACTGCAACCTTTTGTAATTAAAAAGTTTTTAATATCAAAACGAAAGCATTATTCCGATTATTTTAAAACCACAAATAATGTTACCTAGCGCGGGTGAAAAAATGTTGTAATACAGAATATTTTAAAATTTAACGAAATATTTAGCGAAAAATGTTGTAATACAGAATAATTTAAAAATGTCTTAAATCCTAATTTAAACTAATAAAGGAAGATTTCTTGTTCCTACGCATAAACATAAGAGGTAAAAACACAAATATTGACAAACTAACAAGAAGTATAAAGAATAATATTGAAAAATTATTTCCTTTTAAGAATTTTTTGTTTAAAATTTTTTTAATTTGTCAATGTAATTATCTATTCATAATGATTTACCTTGCAGAAACGCGATGTAACGATAAACCTTCACAAATAAACTCTAATCAATAAATAATTATTATCAAGTTAAACTCATTTAATAATTTCTTTTAAAAAAAAAGTTCAGCTAAAATTATGATTATCTTATAATTTATAAAAAACGATTAGAAATGGCCTCCTCTGAAAATGATGCTGAAAATGAGACCCTTACAATTAAAATAATTATAATGAAAAAAACATTACATTTGGTACTACACTAACTTGTTACCTGTTGGTAATATTATTAAATTTTCTAACTTGTTACTTGTTACCTGTTGTCAGTATTATCTACTAAACATTTATCAAAAACGACAATAAAAAAATAGTTTATTTTGTATAGGAGAGGTGAAACATAGATTGCTTGAAATACAATGAACTTGCCAATGCAAACATTTTCATCGACAACTTATTTCAGCTCAATACATTCATATTAATAAATAAGCTCACTGCCCAATAGCATAGGACGTAAAAAAGACGTCTTTTAAACGTCTTTTGAACATTTTGGATGTCTTTTCACGTCCCGTGCCCACTGGGTGGTGTCACTTTAACTTCAATAACTTTCATTGACTTTTTTACTTTCTAAAAACTCTACTACAATAAATAATTCAAAAACTAGAGTATATAAAAGTATATGAAATTATGTAAAAGTATATGAAAGTATATGAGAGTGTATGAAAGAATAAAATATAATAACAAAAAATTAAATATTTAAAATGTCCACGAATAATCACAAGCAAAATAATTAAATCCTCAAAAAAAAAAAAAAAAAAAAAAAAAAAAAAAAAATATATATATATATATATATATATATATATATATATATATATATATATATATATATATATATATATATATATATATATATATATATATATATATATATAAAATCTTACTGTCTGTAAACAGTGCAAAAGAAATACTCGAAAAGATAAAACAAATTTAAAAAAATGTCTAATTCCACACAACTACAAAAATATAACTATTAAAAAAATAGTAATAAATGGGGGAAATATGAATGAAATTATTAATAAAACTAAAATAAAATTTAAAACTTAGCAGCCGTGGCGCAGTGGTAGCACTTGCCTCAGAAACTCAAGATCCGTGGTTCAAACCCTACCTCTGAGCAAGTTTTGCGACATCGGTTGGGAAGGAGGCGTGAACTTCCTATTAAATGCTCTTCCGCGGTGCTCTGTGATAAGACCGTAAGGACTTCTTGGGGCACCTAAATCAACTTAAAAAAAAAAAACTTAACTAAACTCTATAATTAAGAAAAGTTGAAGTGTATTGAAGTTGTTGTGTATTCAAACAAAAAAACTAACAAATTTGATAGTTTTTTTTTTATAAATGTATCAAAAATAAGCATTTTGAAAAAATTAGTATTAACCATACTAGTTCAATTTCTAAAATTGATGCAAAGTTAGAGGAGCTTGAAGAGAAAAAAATAATAATAAATAAAGAACTCCGGTCATTGACGATACGATATGTTGCTGCTAAACAATTGTAGACCAATCTCAAGTCTTCATGTATTTTGAAAACTCCTGGAAAGAACAAAATATTACGGACTTGATATAAATATTAATTGACTTAATATAATTATTTAACAGAATATAAAATCTAATGCAAATTTTAATACGGTTTTCAATCGAACCATTTAATCAAAACTAGTCATTTGAAAAAGAAATGTTTGTATTGGAAGTCTTTATTGACGTTAAAAATGCTTTTAGTGCTGTTTACCATACAATTTTGCTTGAAAAAATTAAAAAATCTGGTATAAATAGCTTTGCTATTTATATAAAAGATAACGTGTCATAACACAATAGGCACAAGACATGTTTGAAATGTCTAAAACACATCTTCTACCCACTGGGAATAGACGGTAACAGTAATACAAAGTAATTAAAAATAAAAAGTGATGTACTGCAGGGATCTTAACTTGCCTTTTTCTTTTTCCTTATTTATATTAACGACCATTCTAAAGCCTCCACAACTTTTGACTCTATAATATTACATGTTAATGATACAAATTTATTTATAAACGCCATTAACATAAAAATTTCTTCAAACTTAGGATACTTTTACATAGCAAACATTAAAAAAACTTTAAACCTTTATCATTAGTTATCTTACATACGTCAACATAGCATAGGTATGCACACACATGACTATGTAAATGACCTTCAAAAGTCAACAAAAACATGCAATAAAACTTATTTAAATAATTACTTTCGTTGTGTTGCAAAATGTTTTCAGGACTTTTTAAATATGCAATAAGAAAATAAATAAACAGAGTCCTCTACGTTACGACCTCTTGGATTACCGTTCACTACTGACCTCTCTTAGAAATAATATATTCAATCCATAACAAAGTTGCCATCTGCTAAATTTGCTTCTTTTTATCTTTAACGCCCAATAGTATGATTTCATTTTAAGTAATCATCATTAAAAAATGTTTTTAAATACGAAAATTTCTAAAAAAAAAGTTATTATATAACAATATACAATTTACTAATCAATGTATACAAACTAAACGTGATATATAGGGCATAACAATATACAAACTTATGTAAAAATATTTTTCAAATGTAAAGCGTAAAACTATAAATTCATCAAATATTGTCACTGTGTTCGAGAACCCCCAACAATGATTGGTGCGTTTTCTTCTTCAAGTAAATTATATGAAGGTAATATAGGTTGTATATTTTTTAGTTTAAATTTTACTTCTTCCGTCTTTAAACCTTCCTCCAGCTCATTTTTTATTGGAATAATTTCCGTGTTTGATTCGGCGTATCGCGTAAATAGAACTTTATTTTCTGCGGAATTAGTTTTATTGATTTCGCCATTTACTTTTTTGTAAATTTTACAAGACTCTAGGGAATTAAATCGTTGACCATTTTCAATTCCTTTTTTATAACACAAAGAATTGCCTTTAAGGAGCTCTGTTGCAGGTAATGGAGGAGGTACTATAAGCAAATCTAAATCAAATCGAGGATTGTATGGTAAGAATCGACGCTTGTTAAAATCTAAAAACATTTATAAACTAATTGTTAAAATGTATGTTTGAAATTATGTCACTAAAAATGTCAGGAAATTTTAGAATTGAAAAACAATCCAAAATAACTACGGCTTTGCCTATGATAATAAATGGTTTTTTATGGTAGAGAGTGGTTGGGTAAGGAGAAAGAGGGGGAGGGATATAATACAATTTTTTTGCATACAAAAGATTAATAATAACAATAATAATAATAACAATAATAATAACAACAATAATAATAATAACAAGAATAATAATTAGGCCTTTAAACTTATAATTAACATTCACCATACACAATTTTTATCTTGTAATAAATAGTACAACTTTATTTGAATGGTCAATAAAAGTAGCTTTTTATATTTTACTACAAATATTTTAGTGAGAGTTGCATATTGATTAATAGTTAGAACATCAGACCACAACGTAATAATTATAAAGCTTTGTAAATACTTTTATTTATTAAAAACAATCTAATTTTAAAAAAAGGGTTAAAACTTAAATTAATTTGATATTTTATAACTTATAAAAATTATTATTTTCACAGAAGGAAAATAATTTATCTTTTTTATATATATGTAAGTTATAATTCATTAAAAAAAGTAAACGTACCTAATAGAGTTTTTTGTGCTGTTATCTTGCTTCCATCAATTTTTTTAACCTTAGTATATTTTAAATGCTCTTCCCCTAGACCGTGAGATCTTTTTTTTCGAGATGAAATATCTTCGTGAAAGTCATTGTCTGCTCTTGAATAAATATGATGAGGATATAAAAGTTTGTCAGGATAAAGCTGTTGACTTGGAGAGGGTGTATGAAGCATTTTGTTATTTGAAGAGTAATCTTTTATTTCATTACTGTGAATTCTTGAGTACACAAAACGATGAGGAGAACCTTTCATACGGTTCTGGTCTTTAGATTCTCTGGAAAATGAAATTTCGCTTGATTTTATTCTTTTATTATCGTCATTTCTATTAATATCGCTTTCAAAATACTCATTATCGTCATGGCAGCGATTACAGTTTGAATATTTTTTACAACTATGATCTCCGTTTCTCAAGGGTTTGTTTGAGGTATGATTACAAGGTCTCTGAGGTGACGATGACTCATCTTGAAGTACATCAAGAACTTGTCGCAGTTGTTGGGCATATTGTGATTTCTTTTGCTCATGTTTATCATCATAAGGTCTACTTATATGCGTTGGAGAAGTCTCCGCAGATGTCGGTGAACAAGGAGAACTTTCCATATTTTCGGAAACATCTGAAATTTTTGATTGAGAACTAATATATGAATGACCATTAACCAATCTTTCGCTTCGCACCAAGTTAGACAGCATTTCTTCTGCATCATAAAAATGTTTTTTTAAACTCATAACAGTTTCGTTTGCAAGATGGATTTGATCTTGTAAAAAATTAAGATTTTTTTGAGCAGCTGAAATTTGATTTTCAAGAATATCAGCAATGTTTTGGCCGTGCTTTAAACGTTCTTGCAACGTGTTAGCTATGTTTTGACCCTGCTTTAGGCGCTCTTGTAAACAGTCTACGGCTTGATTTAATGAAGGAGAGCACCGTTTTAGAGCAGCCATTTGTTATTGTTTGCAAATAAATATTTTTTTCTTGAGAAATATCGCCTAATAAAAAAATATTATTACTCTAAATTAAAACATTCTTTTTTTAAAAATACGTCATAAATAAAATTTATTTGATGTCATAAATGAAATCTATTTGATCCGAGAAATGTTTAAGATAAATAAAAAGTCTAACATAAAATAATATCAAATGGCGCTAAGAAAAAATACGAAGATCAATGCAAAAATAAAGAAAATGAAATCGTCTTTATTTTCTTTCTTCAGCCTGTAACGCACTACAGCATTACTGCTTGGCTCAAACTTACCTCTACATGCTCAAACTTACCGCCACATAGTAAATTTAAAGTAATCTGTAAAATATATATAAAATAAAGAATCTATTTAAAAAAAAAATGAAAATAATCAAGGAAAAAAAAGAAAATGCTGTCGGGACAATTGTTTTAAGAATACATGTAAAAGTTTTAAATAGTTTAAAAAACTATTCACTAAGTCAATTTTCATTAAAAAATGACTTTATCCGCCCCTTTTTATACCCGCCCCCTAATATCCTTTAAAATATTCAAACATTCAAAAGTTGTACAGGTTTTTAAACTCTTGTGGAAAAATAATTTTAAAATGTTTTAAACTTCTTTAACAAACAAACTTGAAGAATATTGAAAGTTTCACAATTGTAAAACAAAACTAAACAAAAAATTAAATTTAAGCAATTCTAACATATATACTTATTAATAGTTTAAAAACATGGCATCTCATCCGAAAATAAATTGAAAATGATTTTTTATTTTTCGACGTATCTTACCATATAACTCAATTTCTAAAAAAACTTTCAACAAAAGAAGTTTCTTATAATTCACCGGTCTGATGAAATGCGATCATAATTAATTCTATTCAAAATAACTGTGCAAAATACGTAGAACTTTATTGAATAATTTTTTTTTGTTTAACTAAGTTTTATGCAAGGCGAAATTTTCAACTCACTTCATTAAAAAGTTAATAACATTTTAAACACCGAATAATGAAGTACATCTATTAATACTGTCATAACTTTTAAAATAATGTGAAGATTTTTGGATTAATTAGCAAAGAATAATAATAAAGACTGTGTTTAATCTTAGCTTAGCTTCAAATTACGAGCCAGACCAAATGTCCTGCAAATCTTAAATTGTTTCTCCATTAAAAACATATATCTAAAATAATCAAGTAAATAAACAAGACTTTAAAACAATTAAATAAACTTGATTAACATGGTATTTTCGGTTTTATAAAAACTGAAGCAATAAGGTTCTTTGACATACTTTTAATAAACATGTATATATATATATATATATATATATATATATATATATATATATATATATATATATATATATATATATATATATATATATATATATATATATATATATATACACACACAAAACTTACCATATGATTTATCACAACGCATTAATTACAACGCATTTCTAATATCAAACTGCGCGGTTTTGTACAGACAACAGTCGGACTCACAATACCTAGCAATTTGTTAAGTGAATTATTATGAGTAATTAGCTTACCATAAAAGAAAAATATTTTTGACAGAACAATGCAATTAGAGATATGAAAGACATTTAAGTAGTAGTGCAATTCAAATTTAATCTTAATTATAAAATGATGTAATTTGAAGCATATAACTTAAATTCCAAGCGAAATTAGCTTCTCCGTTTTTCATTTACTTAAGCATAATTGCTTTTTTGTTGCTATCTTTGCGTAAAGCATACACACAGATAGCAACATAAAAATAATTTTATATAAGACTGAAGTAAGAAAGGCCTTTGCGATTGTTAAATTTTAAATGATATTGATTATTTTAAAACTACAATTAATTGACGGTGACAATTTAATGATTGTAGTAATGATACTAAATTACTTCGATGTTTTTAAAGGTTATTTAAAACATTTATTTTGATTAACTGAAGATTACATCAGACGCTGCATAATTAAATATAAAATTGTATATAACTCTGCATATAAAATTCCGTTAATTATAAACGTAAAAACGGCTAAAAGTTTTCTTTATATTAATATATTAAATTAATTTCGACAAAAAAATTTATCAAAAAAAAAATGAATTTTAAAAAAAATAAATTAGATATTAACATGCAAATAATAAAACTAAAACAACGAACACAGATGCTAAAAATACTAAACTAGACATATCACAGAAGATTTAAATAATCTTATCGTCGACAACCTGGAAAGGATGCAATTAAAAGTGCGCTTTATTATTAAAGTTTATTTCACATTTCTTTTTTGTTTTTTAAAATTAAGGTTAATAAAAAACAGTATAAATAAGTAAAATAGAAAACAATAGAAAACAATGATAAAATAAAGAAATAGATAAAAATCAATCATCAAATAGATAAAATAAAAACTTTTTATATTTTTTGTTTGAAAGAAACATTTCAATCAAATACATGCACGTATAGATACATACATACATACATACATACATACATACATACATACATACATACATACATACATACATACGTACAGGGCCGGCGCGAGTAGGTGTCACGTGGGGGGGGGGGTGCCATAACAACTTTTGCCAATTTAAAAAAAAAAAGGTCCTCGCTTTTTAAAATTTGCTGTCTGCCCTCTGACATTGCGCCGGCCTTGCAGACGTACATACATGGCCCTCAAATGAATTTTTTTAAGATTTTAACTTTTAACTTTCAAGAATAAATGAAAGCAAAACTTTTATACTCTTTTATTAAACTGTTAACGGCTTTGTTAAATAAGGGGGAGAGAATTGATTGGTTCTGAATAACCTTAGGTTTTCCAGAAGACATTATAAACTTATTCAAAACAAAATATTTTTCTTAAATGATTTCAATTGACAAGTGCTGGATTGTGGCTTTTTTTGGTCCTAGGTTAGTTTAAAGCAGAGGGGGCCCTTGAGATTTCAGTTCAATTATTTAAAAAAAAAAAAATTAGCATTCTACCAATTTATTTCAAAGAAATTTTGGCGATAATTTATTCGCTTAAATTATTTTTTTAGACTTATATTAAAGATTTTATTATACAATTCACCAAACTCAGCTATAACATCAATGAAATCTGTTGTTTTTAATATTTTTTGTTCAATAGTTTTGCTGGCTAAATTATTTACTGTATCATGTCCTACATTCTTTTAAGAATAGAGAATAATTATCGCAAATCTCTATTATTTCTCTAGTTTGATATAAAACAGTGAGAAACAATCAATATGCTCAGGGCCGAATTTACTGATAGGCTGTAGCTTAGGGCCTCACAATTTTTAGGGCCCCGAAATGGGTTCTATTTAATGTGTGCTAGGGGTATTTGAGAGTTATTAAAAAATATTACCTAGATAATTGTAATGATTGCAGTAACAATAATCCCTCTGGATAGTTATTAACATTTTGTAAAGTTTTATTTGCACAATCATTAAGAGTTGCAACACTAAATCCCTTGGAGATAAATCCGCACGGAGGAATTCCAAAACAAATCTATATAAAAGCCGTAGCGCTAAACTAAAAAATTGAAGATACAAAAGCAAAACAACAAACAATTTAATACTATATAAACTGTATAATAGTTTTTTCATCAAAATATTTATTATATATTGAGGCTCCCCGAATTCGATTCAGCCTAGGGCTCCCGAGGGTGTAAATCCGGTTCTGGATACGTTTGATAAATATTCGAAAATCAATAATAAATCAAATTATAAAAACCAATAATACCGATGTCCCCAAATCAACTGAAATCATGCAAAAAATACAATGCCTTATTTTTCTTTTTCTCAGCCTTATTGTTTTTTTTTTTATGAAAAATAAAGTTGAGGTTGCAACTTTAACAAAATTTGTTCTATTACAAAAACTAAATCTCTTGAAAGAGCTCTTCTAAAAACTTTCGCAAACTTGCATTTCAATAATACAGGTATATAATAGTTTCAATAAAAAATAATTTATGTGGCTCTAACTATCACTTCTTATAATTATTTGCGTCACATGTTTGTCAATAATGACAAAAAGAGTATTTATTTGAAACTTGTCAGATTAGATTAGTTTAAAGTTTCAACTTCAATTTCTCTGTCGTGAAATCCTTTATTCGCTCTCTTTTTTTCTTAGTTTACGAATTTATTAAACTAATAAAACCTACTATGGGATGCCAAGATTTTGTATTCTCAGTTATTAGAGTTAATCCTGTATGAATCTTATCAAAGTTTTCAATTAAACCTTTTGAAGCATAATGACCATCGTATATTTGATTTATGTTTTTTTGATTGACTTTTTTTCTGATTTATGATTGTAGTTTTTTAGTAAATCTCCTTTTAGTAAATCCCATCAGTGCGTAGTTACAAGCTTCAAAAGTCGAAAAAAAAACTCTGCAGAATAACGGTTAATTGATAGAATTGATGAACGCACTGGTACTGCACTGCTTTATTAAGTTTAACGAATGTCCAACGTAGAAGATATAAAAAGTAAGTTTATTCTTTTAAACATGATTACGAAACATACTGCTTGCATAATTGTATATCTGTTTACAAAAAAACCATGTTATGGTTTTGTTTACAACAAAATCATGTTATGATTTTGTTGTAAACAGATATACGATATATATGACATTGATATAACAAAGAAACGAAAAATACGACATTGATACGATACAAGCAAATCAATGTAATATTTGTCTGATCTAAAGTTCAGTGCACAAGGATTTAGTTTTGTGGTTTCTAATTTCTAGAAAACAAAAGAAAAACTAACCAGTTGTTTTTTTTTTAATTATCATAGATTGTGTTGGGAGTATGCATTGAAATTGAGCGTTTTGTATTGAGACTCATAATTCAGCAGGTTTTATCATTAATATTAGAGATGGGAAACGAACCGAACCCTAACCGAACGAATTGAACTAGAACCTTACATACGACCAAACTATACCGAATCCTAACTTTACTTGTTACTGAACCAAACCGAACCCGAACTTTGAAATTGTTGGGAACGAACTAAACCGAACGAACTGTCCTTACCCTTACCAAA